ATGTATAAAATTCTATGGGTTAGTTTCAACCTAGGTATCCTCTTTTTTTTTCTCTGCTCTCTACTAGGGTTTTAGTTTTTTTTGGCCGTTTAGGCCTATTTTCGACCCTTTTTCTGTAATTCAATTTAGTTTTTTGCTTTGATTTACGTTTTTGTTTGTTTTGAGTTGTTTTGTTCTCTCCATCTATGAGAGTCTATCTCAATTTTCTGGGTTTTTCCCAATTATCTGGATTTTGATTCTCATCCATGAATGAGAATTTTATTTTTAGGGTTCTTACCATAATTGGGAAGGTGATTTAGAATCCTATGGGTCTAGGGTTTGTCATCAACTTTTCGATCAAAACATCAGCGTAGATTGCGAAGGTCTCTACTTGGAGAGATGCAAAGACATCGAAAATCATTGCGCGTCAAGTGTGAAGCGATGGGGTATGAGCTATGCCAAATATGAAAATTAGTTATGAATTTGATTGTAAAAGTTATGATATTTTCTCTAAATATGTGGTTTACAGATATTTATTATTGTAGATGTTGTATGGCTATTATTTAATGATATTAATACTTCCCGTTCAAAAAAATTTCTATGGTTTTTTTTTTCTCAAACAAATAACTTCATATATTTGCAAAGTTCTCTTGAGGCACAACACGCTCTTTAACGTGCCCTTCACACAAGATTCCAAGAGGAGAAAATAACAAATCAACTTTCTACTTATGAAGTTTAGTTTGAGGGTCCATTGTATGAAGTTGAACCTAATGACAATGTATTGGTGATTAGGTCTGTTTTACATGATGCGCCAACTCAAGAGAAGCATAAAGAACAAAGGGAAAATTTATTCCAATCATGATGCATGGTGAAAGGAAGGAGTTGTTCTCTTATAATTGATGGAGGATCATGCACTAACGTTGCTTCTAAGAAGATGGTTGACACATTATGGTTGGAACAATAAGATCATCCTAAACCTTATAAGATTAATTGGGTGAACAATGATGGTGGATTATTGGTGAAGAAACATGTTCTAGTTCAATTTGAGATTAGAGATTTCAAGGATGAGGTATGGTGTGATGTGTTACCCATGGATGCTTGTTCTTTGTTGTTAGGTAGACCGTGACAGTGGGATCGAGATGCTACTCATCTATGCAAACAAAATATTTGTACCATTGCCGTTGGGAATAGTCGAATAGGGCTTCAACCTTTGCCTCCCAAGTATATGCATGAAAGTGAGGGTAGTGTGATTAATTCGACTTCTAAAGCTAAAGAACATGCCAAGATAGATTCGGCCACTCCAAGCAACTTGTACATCTCTACTTATAATTCACACGAATTGAACAAGGGAAAGAAAGCAATCAAGCGAGAACAAATGTGAAGCTATAATTCACCTTAGAAAGAAGCATGCTTTTGATGTTGATGACTATGTTTGGTTATCTCTAAGTGCACAAAAGATTTACAACAACATGATAGGGAAAACCGAAGCTATGGAAGAAGGTCCTTTTGAGGTAGTGCACCATGATAATTACGACACATATCAAGTGCTTCTTGCGAAAGGAATTTGCGTGTCATTTCCGGCTAGCGACTTAGCTCCTTGTTTTGAGGCAACTTGAGGACAAGTTCATTTTCAAGAGGGGGAGTATGATGCGGGAGCATCCAAGATTTCCTTTCTTGATTCGTACTTGATAGTTTTTAATGTTTCTTTAGATAAATTTTTGCTTACAAGTTTTTACCTTTCACTTGAAAGGGTTTTTCTTGTTTTAAGCACCTTAAGATTCCCTGATATTTTTAGTTAGGTAGTTAGTTTAATATGGGTTACTTGGAATTCAAGTTAGAGTAGAATTAGTTTTCCTAAACCTAATAGGATTAGGATTATATCTACTTTATCTTTTCCTTGTAAGGCCTATAAATAGGGCACATAATTATCAATAAATTTTAGAGAGATTTGTTTTGGGAATTAATCCTTTGAGCGTTGCTCGTTTGATTGTTAATAAAAAAACATCACTTGTTGCGACTCGTAATCATCTTCTAGTTGCGACTAGGAAGAGACCCTCTATTCTTGCGAGAATTAGAGTACTATCTAATTAATTTCATCCATAATAACCATATTTTTCATCACTACCACAATCGTGGTTGTATTCTACACAAATTCGGACTAAAATCCGCATCATATAATGTAGCAAGGGGATATTAGGTAGATGCTGTAGATCTATATGTATGAAATATTAATCGATGAATTGTTGGTCGATAGGGTGGGAAAAATAAAATAAAATAGATATCAAACTATGTGATTAAAAGTAGTTAACATGAATGGTGGAGACTCTTTTTTTTTTTTTTTTTTTTGACAAAGGCAAAGGAAGAAAGCAAAACTATAAATAATTAAACATGTTAACCCGACAGTTCCTGGCAATGTCATTCGCTCTCCAAACTTGATTTCGCTCAACCTTTAGAACTGTGCATCTTTGGAAGGACGCCCCCACTTCCCTTAATTCCTTTAGCAACCAAGAAATAGAAATGTCTTTGCCAGAGCTCACCCGTAAATTGTCCAGAAGGCCGGTGGAGTCAGAAAAGATCAGGATTCCTTGCCTTCCCTTATCCCGAGCCCATTTCATTGCTTCAAGACAAGCCCAAGCCTCGCACTGAATGGCTAAGGCTGCTGCTCCGTGTTTGCCCCCTACCTCAAGAGCGTAGCCTAAGGGGTTAATCTTAACAGCCCAACCAATTCCAGCTCTCCTCGACGTCTTATCCCATGAGCCATCAGCTTCCACAGTGAAGTCATCGTAGCTACATTTTTCCTTCCCCAGGTGAACGTGGTTGAAACCCGGGGGGTGACTTGGTCATCTCTATCCACGGTGTCCCCTTCATTTGTAGTGCTCGACTGGAGTTTAAACATTTCATGGTCTTGCATGGCCTGGTTAACAGCTTCCATTACTGAACCTATTGTTCCCATAGTTCCCTCAAAGTGTCGTACATTCCTAGTCTTCCATAGCCCCCATAATGTTGCTATGAACAACGCACAACAGATACTATGCTTACCATCCTCGCTATTGTAGAGCAGGATATAGTGCTGAATCCATCTTCGCAAGGAATTGAATTCAGATGAGTCAGGGCAAATGGCTAATGGGGTGTGATCCCATACTCCCTTTGCCGGATTACAAAGCCGAAAGAGGTGTTGGCTGTCCTCCAAGTCCACCCCACATTGATCACAGAGTGCGTGAATTTGCATTCCTCTTCTTGCCAGATTAACCTTGACGGAAATACCGTCATGAAACAGCCTCCAAAGGAAAACTTTCCACCTTGGCTGAATCTCCAATCTCCAGACCAACTTAACAAATTCCTGATCCCTTTCCAAGAAAGAGGGTCTCTCTAACCCCCTGGTATTTGAAAGATAGTAGTATCCTGTTTTAACTGTGTACCTCCCTGACGTGTGATATTTCCAGTAAAGGAAGTCCTCCTCAGACGAATACGGAAGCTCCATTGATAGGATCGCTTTTGCACTTTCCCAATCAAAACATTCCCTTATCTTTCCTGCATTCCAGGTTCTAGTTTCCCTGTCAATAAAATCACTCACTTTCCACCTCGCAGCCGCTGTCAATGTTTGACATGAATTAACCACCGGGATTTCTCCATTTACCCATGGCATACTTATGGCCCTAATATTATTGCCATTTCCGACCTTCTAAGCAAAACCTTCTTTGAACAACTGTATAGCTTTTTGCAGACTCGACCTCCCCATAGAACGGTTCCCTCCTCTTGTATGTGAATTCGCCATGCAACCAACACCACCCTGTCTAAAGCCCCTGTGAACCCTTGCCAGTAGAAGTTGGGGATTGAGCTGTATCCTTGATGCTTGTTTAAAGAGGAGAGCATCATTATGGTCCGAACAACCTCTAATTCCCAAGCCTCCCATACTCTTAGGTAGTTGAATGATACTTCTACTAACCCAGTGCATCCCTTTACTCCCATTCAGCACCGTGTTTATATGCACGTGAACAAATGGAGTTTTATATCATTTCAAGTAATAGTAAAATAAATTAAAGTAAGACGAATAAAAGTAAAAATTGAAGATTATTTGGAATAATGATTTATATAGCTAATATTTTCTTTCTATCAATATTTCATTTTTAAAGCAAGACTTGTTTAAGTCCCGTGCATTGCACGATTGTTTTTAAATTTTATAAAGGGTTGTTATTGAATTTTATAAAAATTATACTGGTAATACTTATTATAAAATAAATATAACTTGAATTTTATTTATACCTATACTAATGTCAAGATTATTGACACTTAGACTTGATTAAGGAAAAAAAGGTCCATGAAGTTTTATTTTGAAAAACAAAAATCTAAGGATAGTACTTTCGCGTGGTGCATTATTATTGATACGACTTTTAAAAGTAGAAAAATAAAGTATACATAGTTTATACATGTTAACAAAATACTACGCAATTTTTTAAAAAAAAAATTGAATTATACATTATTGCCAAAATAACAAAATCGGAAGCAAGAAAAAAGTTGATAGTATTATTGTACTGTACAGAATAGTATAGTTTAATACGGAATAATATTTACATATTATATGTTCATTTTTGTTTTACAAAAAACCTAATATAAAATACTACATATATGTTAACATATACTCTGTATTAGTTTAGTGTATATGGAAAATTATTGTTAAGAATGTTGATTGGAAAGAAAATATTTTGGATTATTATAAAATAATTTCCTTGAATAATCTGAGAAAAAAAAATGAAAGTAAAATGGGAGGGAAATTTTTAACCAGGAGATGACATGTGTCATTCCTGATTTCGCTTTTAGTATAAAGTTATAAAGTTACTAGTTAAATTTACGTGCAATGCACAAATTTTACTAAATTATATAATGAAGTACAATATTAATTCCCGTGCAATAGATGCACGGTTGTTTAATACGGAGTAATTATAATACAACAAAATTACAAGACGACATAAAAAAAAATATAAGGACTCAACACCAATTATTAGAAAGTATGAAGTATATAAATACAAATAACCATATATAATAGTTGTAATGAACAATTTAATACTCGTATTTTAGAAAGTTTAGTTTAGATTTTATGTAAAGCAAATCTCATTATTTAGATACAATGATCCTTCATTATGGTAAGAATTTTTTTTTTATTTTTTTAGAAGCAAATACTTTTGGAGGGAAAGTACTCAATATAATGCTGCCAAGTGTCATCTTAGGTTCGCCTTTAGTTATATGTAAATGTAATAGATTATTCTCACATATTAAGCCACAAATACTATGGTTCATAGTTCTAAACATGAACTGAATACTAACAGATTTAAGGCGTGAATACTAGTAGATATGTTGGGACACAAAACTCAAATAAACCAAATTGACCAAATCGTGAAATCGAATATCTTTATATAATTTGATTTAAGTTTAATCTCACTCATTTTTTATTTCGGACCGACTTTTAAATAGTTGTAAATATGTATAAACAATGTAAAGGACAAAAATAAACTTCCAATTCAAATGCAAACTACTGATAAAATATTGGAGTAGTAAAAAAAATCAATTGAAAATACCAAGCTCATCAAATTTATACACTCAAAAGACAAATATTTTACCTTAAGTTTACCTCACCCATCTAATAATTTAACGTTACGTTACATTACCTCAGACTATCCCTTACCCATTTACCCCCCTTACAAACTAGCCCTGCCTTCCTCTGCTCCCATCTAAAAGATTTCTCTTCTTACCAAATTTTTACTCGTTTTCTTTATTTTTTAAATATATTAAAATAATTAATAAAAAATATAAAATAAATAAAAAAATCATAGTGTATTATGCTGACATTTTTGAGATATTGTTTCAGCTTTATCGATCTTTGCTAAAATCTCCTCCCTTTCTTTCTCTCATTTTCCCCTCATCCAAAAACTTAAAAAATTAAGAAATTAAATAAATAAATTCAAGAAAATAAATAAATTTAACAAAAATACAAAAAATTAAAATATAAAAAAGGAGCTCATATTTTTCTTCACTGACAGATAGGAATACCCTCTGCAAATTTCCTAACACACGCACGCATACTCCCTTTCTCTCTCTTCATGTCATACATCATTACCTAAAGCCAACGGAAATCATAAATGTGCACACATAAAATTTAAATAAATAAAAATTCACAATAATAACAAAATAAACAAATACTCTAAAATAAAAATATTAGAGAAATAAAAAAAGAAAAGAAAAAACAGGACAGGACAGAACAGAAAAAACCACAGTATATTGGGTTTCGGGCCCCTACCATACCACAACTCTTTCTTTTTAACACCCCTTCAAATTCTCTCAATTCTTACTTCAATTTTTCTCATTTTTGAGCTCTTTTATTTATTTTATGTTATAAAAACTTTGGGTTATTTTTATTTTTGGTTTGTGGGTTGTTTGAAGATGGACCAACCTTTTTTTCTTCATTTTGATAATAGTGAGTCGAATTTACCACCTGGGTTTAGGTTTCATCCTACTGATGAAGAACTTATTTCTTATTATCTGCTTAAGAAAGTTCTTGATGGTAATTTTAGTGGTAGAGCTATTGCTGAAGTTGATCTTAACAAGTGTGAGCCTTGGGAACTTCCTGGTAATTCTCTTTCTTTTCTTATTATGTTTCTTATTGTTCGGAATTTGTTACTGTATCACGTTGATAGTGTAATTTCAGCTTTTAACATGTAATGGTTATAATTTGTGTTATTATAGTATTACTAACAACTTTTCTAACTTGCTTAGCTTTATCATAGTTAACGTATGTTTTGACTGAAATTTTTGTAGTTTTATTATAAAATACAATTCCATGATCATTTAATTAACATATTATAGTTCACATTGTGATAGTAATATAATGTTCAAATTGTTACATAAAACTTTATAAGAAAATGTACTTTAGTTAATTTTTGTAAACATTATGTTAACATAAATTTAATATTCCTAAGAATAGTACAAGAATAAATTTGATTCAAACTTTATATTATGTGATGAGTGCAGAGAAGGCAAAAATGGGGGAGAAGGAGTGGTACTTCTTCAGCTTAAGAGACAGGAAATATCCAACGGGGTTACGGACTAACCGGGCAACCGAAGCTGGATATTGGAAGGCAACCGGAAAAGACCGGGAAATTTACAGTTCCAAAACAAGTGCATTGGTTGGAATGAAGAAAACTTTGGTGTTTTACCGGGGAAGAGCTCCTAAGGGTGAGAAAAGCAACTGGGTTATGCATGAGTACCGCCTCGAAGGCAAATTTTCTTACCACTACCTCTCCCGCAGCTCTAAGGTACGTATTTAGTTGTCACGTTACTAGTTTAAAATTTTATTACGTCTAAATCACTAAATGTTGATGTGTTACAAGTTCTTTTGGTGCATTTAGAATGATGAGGGACTTGAGGGTTATGTATGTTAAAATTAGTCAATATGGTTAAATTGTTTTTTTTTTTTATTTTTTTTTTTAATGTGATGTGTTGTTTTGCATGCGTTTAGCAAGTACTACTATGATTGTATTGTATGAATAAATTGATGAGAAAAATGAGAGAAGTTGAAAGGATTTTTCATGGTACAATCAATTTCAGTGAAATAAGCAAACACTACTTGAGTATTCTCATCAGGTAGTAATTATTGACATTTGATATGATATCTTTATTTAAGGAAGATCATGAAATAACTTGTGAAAATATATTCGTATTTTGAGTTTGTAGTTTTCACAAAGTTATGATGAGTTTGAGACTACATTTTATATGTTGCTAAATTTAAGGAGTGAAATCAAGTAAATAAATGTAAATAATTTGTGCCTTTTTTTTTGAGTTAATTCATGAGATAAACTTAACAACCTAATTTTTGTCTTTAGATCATACTTGTATGTCACTAATTTTGTACTAGGGCACATTTACTAACACTTAGATTGTGTGAAATTTTGTTAATAGGATGAGTGGGTGATCTCAAGGGTGTTTCAAAAGATCGGTAATGGAATCGGTACAACAAGCACCGGCACCACCAACACCGGAGGCGGAAAGAAAACTCGAGGCAGCGGAATCATGAGTGGCCTCTACAACTACAATAGTACTATCAATGATGTATGCAGCTCACCTTCCTCAGCTTCAATCTCAATCTCTCAGCAGCTTCCACCACTCCTAGACTCTTCCCCTTACGGTGGAGCCATGAATGAGGCTTGCTCCTACAACGATGGGAGCGAGTCCAACAACACCAACAACAATCCAATCAAGAAAGAGCACGTGTCCTGTTTCTCCAGCAACACCAACAGCATAAATATAAACACTAGCACTAATAATATTAGCAACTTTAACCCTTTTGAGCTCACATTTGCACCCCCACCACCAATGATGAGCACTCCACCTCCTAGGAGTAGTAGTAGTAGTAACTCATTCACCTTATCCGGCGTAGGGTTACCGGTTTTCCCTAGCCTAAGGTCCCTACAGGACAACCTCCACCTCCCGTGGGTCGGTGGGGGAACACCGATCCAAAGCGGGAGTACCACGGGTGGATGTGAATTAGATGTGATGATGGGAGGTACTAATGCAACAACTTGGGGTGGCGGCAATGGCGGTGGCGGTGTCGGGTTTGATCATTACATTGGTGGTGGAAGGGTGGGAATAGGTGGTGGTGGGAGTGAGCTTGACTGCATGTGGAGTTACTGATAATGACAAGGCTAATCAGTCTGCATGGCGTTCTTGCATTGCTTGTCTGAGTGGGTTTGACTTTTGGGCCTTTAGCTTTAGCTAGCTATTCTATGTGTGTGTTAATCAGAGTTTGATGTGAGTAGGGTTATGGTATGGTATGTTATCTAGGTTGTTTGGTACTATGAGTTAGTTTCTACTACTTGTTTTTATTTTTATTTATTGTTGTTGTAAGTTTATGTGTGTATTTCTTTTTAATTAGGGTAAAAAAAGAAAAAACCTTGTCTCTAGCTAGTGTGGCTATTGTTGTTGTATGATTGTGTTATGTACTTTGTGGAATCTTTGTTTTGTACTATATTATTAAATTTATGTGGTGTTAGATTGTGGTATTAATTAAGTATCTTGTGCTTGGTGTTGATAGATTATTATTTTCTTAAGTCTACATTATATATATGGATTAATTGTGTGGTGTTGAAATTTTATTTTAGTACTTCGATTTCTGTAATTGATTGATATTGTTTTAATTAGATGAACTAGATTAAAGGGTAATTTCAGGGTAGAATATAATCAATACAAAAGTAATCAACGGTTAATAAATTTATGTACACATGAATTAGGAATTGAAATAATACATTCAAAACTAGGTGTATCAGTGTATATATGCAATCTTAACAAGGGCTATAATAAATTAATTACGATAAATTAGATACTTCACGAGGCTTTCATGCGGATATGATTTGAATGAGGATAGGATTTCCATTGTATTATTATCAATTGGAAGATTTAATTGAAATTGAAATCAAAGTGAGTAGGGTACTTTAGAAAAAAGTGACTAAAAGTACCAATTACCAAGTAGATGTTTTAGCCATCAAAAAACTAATCCATAGTTAGATTTTGTTAAAGTGATATTGGCTTCATAAAGTATAATAATTTTAAAATGATCGGTTAATATATACGGAAAATTATTCTATAACAAAGGATCGTTTTGCATTACATCACATGACATAGTAGAACGAATTATGTTCAAAAGTCTAAACAAAAGAAAAGTGAACTAATTAATACATAATACAAATTATATTTTGGATCGGAGGGAGTAAATTTCACTTGGAGCCTTGACAACTACAATGGCGCAGTAAGCAAAATGGTTGCACAAGAGCTATCTTAAAGTGTTGAAAGGACTATTGAACTGGAAGACAGACAAAGGTCGGTCTGTCTCCATTCTCTCTGTATGTAAGTTGTAAGTTGAGGGAGGTGAAAGCATGTATAATAAATGCAACATGTAATTGGTGGCCCTTAGTTTGTAAAATTTCTTAAAATGTCAGCATAATTTTGGGGATGGATAAAGGCCAGGGTTCACCTATCACGCTATTATTTATCCAACCTTTTCTCTCTCCCTTTTTGCCTTTCACTTGTGTGCTGCTGTGCAACCTTCATTTACCTCTAGCAAATTCCTCCTTGGTGTACAACTTGAGTTAAGAGCATATGAATGTTTGAGATGTGAGTAATAAATGCTCTTCTTTTATGTCTTATTAAGTGTGTAGTGATTCTAGCCTAGTGGTGGTGGTAGACGTTTTCACCTTTTATTCGATCTTTCCATATAGTATTTAGACTTGAGATCAAATCTTTATCCAAGGAGGAGTGAGAGAATCGTGCGTGATGTTGTGCACTTGGACCTTTAAGTTGTGGCCTTTGAAGATCCCAAAATGCATTCAAAAAAAGTTGAACTATGTATTAAGTTAGTTTAATGACAATCAAATTGTTATATTATGGAGAATTTCAAGGAAAAAAATATGAAATAATATGACATTTCGAGCAATACAAAGCTAAGTTGTACTTGTACTACTCTGTACAATATAATAATTTATTCGATTAGTTACATATCTCTAATTTAAGATTAATTATAATGGTGTACTTAGCTCCCTCAAAATCTAAGTTTAAGTTATAACTAATGAAAATTAGATGATCAGAAAGTTAGTGAATTACTAAATGAACATAGCATTGAGTTAGGTTAGTTTGAGTTTGATTTCAAGCTAAGCTCGACCCTAATTAAGTTGTAACGAACATTTTTCGAGCATGATATTTTCAAACTCTACAAGCTCGAACACAGTTTGAGTTAGGGTTGTTATCGTAACACTACACCGAGCTAAGCCAAGCCAAGCCGAACTCATATTAGGTTTAACTCTTTATCACCCCTAAGCCCTAACTATCATATTACCACACTTATACGTGATCAAATTATCTCAACTAGAGCCTCCAACATTCCAACCCCCACATACCAAAACAGCAATTCCATACAATGATGAAAATATTAACCCAATGATTACTTAACCATAAAAAATATGTGGTTTTCAACCAACATCACAACTATTATTTCATCTACTGTTATAAAAGCTGGTCCCCTTTAATATACATCAAAAAAAGTAAATAAATTGAAAGAAACCTAAAATTCTCATTATAAGTTAATTTCTATAATTGACTCAAATAATCCATTCGTATCAGAAAATATAAATAGGGACAAAAAGCTAGTGGTTTGAAGTTTAATGATTAAGTATGACGATAGCTTAATAGTACATGAAATAAAGGGTGGTCCAAATATAAAATAAAAAAATAAATAAAACTTAGCTAAAATTAGGTTACAATATAAGCCGCGTGCTCTGAGAAATTCAGCATTGCAATCTCAGTTTTAACGATACTAGCTACGTCTCTCTGCATCTATTTATTTTAGGAAATTTCCATCCAGTTACATGTACTATATATATATTTGTAAGGTTAATTTTTTGAATTCTTTGTTTTATCTATATGTCATTTTAATCTACCTAAAATTAGATATTGATTTATGTTTTTCGTCTAGGATTTAGAGTCTTGTTATAGATCTTGACTCTTCGATCAATTATATTTATGGATTATATTTGTCATAAAGTCATGAAAATATGTTTACAATAAGTTTTTTCATTTTGCTCTCCATCTTTGGTACGGAATACTCCTAATAATCATGTGATAATCGATCAAAAAGAGAAAGTCGCATCATGAATGTATTTCGTGAGAAGTGTCTAAACTCCTAGTGTTCTCTCTTTTTCTTGCTTAAAAAGTTATAATGGAAGTGATTTAGAAGATCATAAAATTAGCCTTATTACTTGAGCACGAAATTCATAACATAAACATTCTCGCAGTGATGAATAAAACAACGTGTAGTAACGCCATATACATACACAATTACACATAACTTTAAAGCTATTTAATTTTAGATAAAGTGAACATATATATGAATAACACCATATAGTACACACATAACTTTAAGATTATTTAATTTTAGATAAAGTGAACATATACATGAGTACGATAATTATAGTTTTACTTATGATTATGAAGTATTCCGTATATGGTTTATATGAAGGAAAAATTATTAGTATTGTAGCAGATTTCAATTAGTGAATTAGTAATGTAGTACCATTTATAATAATAGTGCAATTCAACTAAGTTTCAAAAATAATTTGTTTTTAGTTTGTATAGCATTGTATCATTTAGGCGAATTACTTACATACGGCCGGATTAATAAATTAAATGTAGCAATTTCCTTGCAAGAATTCCATTTTTGGATTTTCTTTTTGTTTTGCGCAGAAACTTTTTGTGTGTTTGTGTATTATGAAATGTACAAAATAATTATGCAAGAAAGTAGAAAGCAAATGAACCAAAATTCCAAAAGCTAGGTTTGAGGGTTTTGGTTGTACTATGTTTGAGGTGCAAAGTGCAATAATGATCCAAGAATTTAGGGCCATTGGCTGTTATTCGTCTCAATAGTAAGTTCATCAGGTTGCATCTTTCATGACCTACAGAGCTAGTGATATTGTCATTGTTTTGTGTTGGACGACTTGGACCACCCTAAAGTCATTCCATCATGCATCAACCAGACAAGAAAATGTCATATAAAACCCCATCCAATCGAAAATGTTCCGATGTATGAATTTGTATGTAGAGGTGTCAAAACCGATCCGACCCCAAATCGACCCAAAAAAAAAAAATTATCAAATTCAGATTTTGAATTGTATAGACATAATAATTTAGCATGATTCAAATTTACTATAGACTCGACCCCACTTGAACTCTCTGAATCTTACCCATACACCTGAATTGACACCTCTACTTAGCTTGTATGTTATACATAATCTAACAGGCCAAGACTAAGAATCACATCTTCCTTTCCCAAATCTTTCATCTCAAATTTAGAAGAAAATAATCCCTTAGTTTCAGTTATAGCACCCAAATCAGTACTAAACAACATGTCATCCACACAAAGACATATGATCACACAATGATTACCAAACATTTTAGAGTAAACACACGCATCACTACCATTGACAACAAAACCAAAACTAAGAATAGTATAATGAATTTTTTCATACCACTGCTTTGTTCATATAATGACTTCTTGAGCTTACACACTTTATTATCCATTCCAAGAAGGCAGGAACCACAGACCCCAGAGGTTGCTCCATGTAAATTTTCTCTTCCAAAAATCACCATTTAAGAAAGCTGTCTTGACATCCATTTGATACACAAACAAGTTAAATGATGAAGATAAGGAAAATAAAGTACGAATAGTAGCAATCTTAGTCATTGGAGAATAAGTGTAGAAATAATCAATGGCATATCTCATTTTCTTCTTGAAAATCCACTAGCTCCCTATAGGTCAGGTTCTCTTTGGCAGGTCAACTAGTTCCCAAGTGTCATTCTTCATAATGGAATCAAGTTCACTATCAATCGCTTCCTTCCAAAAATTTACATCAACCGACCTCATTGCTTCTTCAAACGTTTTTGGATCTTCATCTACAACCTGAAGACACACCATGACCTCATCCAGATCATCCTCACTATCCATCTCAGTTAGAAATGCTGTGAGAAAATCAGGGCTAAAAGTAGTTTCTATTCTCTGGCTCTTACTTCTCCTGGGTTGAGGTAACTCCTCCACCCTAGGACAAGTAACAACAGGCTCTGTAAACAAAGAAACTGAAGTAACATTGTTAGAAATTTTAATTTTCTTCAAAGGAAATACCTGTTTGAAGGACACTACATCTCAGGATTCACTGATTAAATTGTTGTCTAGACTCATAAACCTGTAGGTAGCACTGTTATCAGCGTATCCAATGAATACCATATCAAACGTCCTCGAACCAACTGTCAACCGTTTAAAAAAAGGATATCCCACCCCCACACTTTCATATAACTCAGATTTGGGGCATAATCCTTCCACAACTCATAGGAAGTCTTGTCTAACTTCTTGTGCAAAACTCTGTTCTAAACAAAGTTTGCTGTCAACACAGCTTCACCCCACATGTTGTCTGCCAACCCTGAACTCAAGAACATTGCATTCATCATCTCTTTCAGAATCCTATTTTTTCCTTTCTACGATTCCATTCTACTGGGGCATGTATGGAGCTGAAACTTCATGAATAATTCCTCTAGTCTCATATAAGCCCTTAAGGAAACTGGAGCCATACTCTCCTCCTC